GAGAGTGTTACCGAGGACAAAACAATGTACAGTTATTATATTCAAATGTTTTAATGTCATGCTTTTAACTGATAAAATGTGGAAAACCATTTGTGAAATACATGTAAAAACATACTAGTTTAAAGACTTATTTCACAAATATATGTTACGTGATCTGTATGTTCGATCTGTTATCAGTTGTAGTTATCAGTTATAAAAGCATAAGAATATGAAACACATATTTGAAAACATGTTTTGAGTACAAGAATTCCCTTGTACTTTGCTTGTGTTCCCCCCCGCGGAAAACAGTGAAAACAGTGAAAAAGGGTAGGGGTATGAACTCACCGGACTCGGAAACGTGTCGGTTTTGAATGCTATACGTCGGTTCGGGGTTTGATTACTCGCGATGACCCTATGTAAAATGATATAATGTCCATATATATATAATTAGAGATACATTCACTAATCATATGGAACATTACACTCCAATGAGGTTAAACACCTCAAAACGAGCGTTTGGAGTGACCCGGGTGACATCTTCGGACTTGTAATGGCACTAGGGACTTGGGACTTGAGTTTACTCTCCATAAGTAAACATTTAAATGAGTTTACAACATTGGAACACCCACATACATGAGTTTACGGCCGTAAACTCATGTGGGTGAGGTTTTGGTGTTTTAAGGGCTCAAATGGACTTAGGGATTGCTAGAATGGATTATTTAAATTGTCTTGGAACACTTGGACTGAATTTAAATCATCAAAATGATTATTTTATGGGAGTTTACGGCCCAGTATAGGCTCCTGGCCGTAAACTCCTTAATCTTCATGAAATGGGTGACAAATGTTGTTAAAACAAATCACATGTGATTCATAAGATTATTCCAAGACCTAGTATGATTTTTATGTGACATTTGAGGGGTGTTATGGAGTTTACGGCCCATGAGACCCTCCTCATGGCCGTAAACTCTAATGTAGGGTCATACAAAGTGTTTCAAGGTCTAAAACTTGCATAGAAGGGCTTCTAAAATTCATCTAAAGGCTTTAGGGGTGTTTAGTTTGCATTCTAACACCAAAAGTTTTGGAGTTTACGGCCCAAGAACAACCCTTGGCCGTAAACTCTTATAAATCCCACAAAAGATGTGTTTTAGGCCCTTAAAGTATTTTTGGTTGGTCCCTTGATTTATTCCAAGGCTTTTGGTGGTGTTGGATGGCTTTCTAACACCTTAGAATTGGATTTATGTCACATTTTGGGGAGTTTACGGCCCAAGCACTATCCTTGGCCGTAAACTCACATAAGTCCCACAAAATTCATGTTTCAAGTGTCCAATTGCTTAAACCAAGGTCCTATAATTCATATCTAAGCCATAGAAGTGATTTGGAAGGGTTTTAGGGCATGAAAAACCCCTTTTACTTGAGTTTACGGCCTAAGCTTATGCCTTGGCCGTAAACTCCTTTAAATGGCTCAAAATCATAGTTTTAAATGTTCTAAGTCCATATCTTGAAGTCCCATAGCCATATCTAAAGTCCAATTGAGTTTAGGAAGGAGTTTAAGGGCTTAAAACCCCATTAAATGGAGTTTACGGCCCAAGCTTGCTCCTTGGCCGTAAACTCAAGTTCTTGGTCCTAAAACTCAATTAATTCGTCAAATTGAAGGCTAAAGGTGTTGAATAACATGTTAGGGAGGTTACCTTAAAGATTTGAAGCCTTAAACTTGTGATTTGGACCTTAATTCTAGCTTGAGGAGAGAGGTTGTAAGAGTTTAGTGAGAAATTGGCCAAAGGCTTCAAATGAAGTCCTAAACACGTTTATATAGTGTTAAAATTTTGGACACGGTTGAATTCTACCCGATACCGGCGTTAGACGGAGTTTTTGGTCGTACCCGATTGAGTTACCGTAACCCGATACGGTAAATTCTAGAATTATTCCGATCATTAAAGCTGGCTGTTAAAATGATTTCTAAATGTATTAAGACACCCATTAAGTCATTTTAAATGTGCACTAGATAATGACTTAATTAAACAGAAGATCGGAAATCGAAATCGGAACGACGATCGGTTGCGCGAATTGTACTATGAAAGAGTTACGATAAAATGATACGGAAATTTCGGGTTGTTACATTTTTTTCCTTTCAATACACCATGATATATAATTTTTCTCATATTTTGTTTGGTTGATTGCTTTTATACACCATGAAGGATCACTCGTTTTTTCTTTCGTGTCCCGAAGACATTTTTGACTTATAGCGACGGAGCTATGCCGACAACTTTGTACCGATGAAATTTCGTCTGTATACCCTTTACCGACGACATGTCGTTGGTACAGAGTCCAGAATTGTCGTCTGCATAGGGCTCGATCCTTGTAGTGTAAGCATTTGATTTAGACACATATACTTTTATTTGCATAAGGTATTTACTAGAGCTGAGAGCAAATTTGATTGAGACTGATCCAAACAGACCAAGTTAGAATAAATGTCTGATATAAGCTTGTAATTTACATGGTGATGTTGCTTTAAGTTAATGAGTTAGGACCTCCGTAGTTGCTAATATTTAACTTCTAAGTAAAAATAAAAGATTGCATTTTGTAAGGTGGATTTTATTTATTTTAATCGATAGTATTTAGTAAAATCATAGGCGTTCATATGATCTGTTTTGTTTTTAGAGTCATAATTTGCGTACAACAGCTCTTTTAGTTCAATTTGCATGCTGTGGCTTCAAAGTTTATTGTATTTTATTATAGGATCATTAAGTCTTAATCAAAATAAACTTTCAACCAGACAGTTTGGCCGAGTGGTCTAAGGCGCCAGATTTAGGCTCTGGTCCGAAAGGGCGTGGGTTCAAATCCCACAGCTGTCAAATTTTTTATGCTAAACTTGTGTTTTTAGTGTTGTAGGATACTTTTGTGTTTTTAGTGTTGTAGGATACTTCTTTTACTTTGTCAAACTTTTTATGCTAAACTTGTGTTTAGTTGTAGGATACTTCTTTTACTTTAGTATTTGTTTACTTGTTCAAAAGATAGTCATTTATATTTGCTCACAATTAGTTGTTGTATATCAGTATATGTTGATTTGGAACATCAAACAAAATACATAAAATAAATTTATATATTTTGTATTCGAGGTAGAATTACTAATCACACCAAAACAGTATAATACATACAAATAATAGAGAATGAAATTTGCATTCTAAAATCATTGTGTAATAAATAACAATTCTAACTCGCGAACCATCAGTCTCAAATTTGAAGCGGGGGGAGATGCAATGTATATATAGACTTTGTGTAACAAGCTACTAAGAGTATACATAAAAGCATATCATTTTAAGTTATATTTAAGTGAGATTCACACTCTAACATGTTTGATTTATGATGTTATATCTTCATGACAAAAAAATATGTTTTGGAGTATTAATGTAGTTAAAAGATTATAACAAATGGATGTCACATACGACTTTTGCTATGCTATATTTTTGTTTCTCAGGATTAGTTGTGTATCAGTAGATGCTTGATATTGATGGTCTTATCTGACGGCTGCTTGGGTTATCATCAGCTATGATCGTTAGTGGCAATTTCATCATTTTCTTTTGTTGGGGGCATTGTTGAATTTTTTTAAAACATAATGGCCTTTACATATACATTTTAAAATAATTGGAATATTTATATGTAAAAAAATTTTAGCCATTGGGGGCATGTGTGCCCCACTCTTAATACTATTAGTTTGTTTTTTAGTGTTAAGTTAGTTCCAATACCGGATGCATGTGGAGTACAAAGTTTGAGTGGTTCCAGGAATTCATGTAAAAGAGCAGTTAACCCCATAAACTATGAGTCCAAACATAAGTTTATTTTACATTACAAAATATATTGTGAGCCTAAAGGGTTGATGATTCGTTTTAATTTAGCATCTACAATTGACCATATGGTCATTGTCATTTTACAGGAGGAAGTTCTCCAGAGGACATCACTCCCAATTAAACAGCAATCTAGTGTAAATCAATAACTATTTGTAAATATGGAAGTTAGTTTCTCCAAAGAAAGTATACAAGAATCTAGAGTGGAGAAAAGCAAAAAAATATCAAAGCTCGGCACAAATTAAAAACCCTAATTCAAAGTGCATTATGTCTGCTGGCAATTGGAAAATAATCTTATCGGAAAGCAAAATGAGTTACTAAAGTTATACATCATCCAATGAAAGTCAAAGTTACATGGGCTCGGTTTTCAACTTTTTGGAAGAGCAGATGGAGTTCTCTGTTTTTGCTCAGTTTTCAATCTAACTCTAAAACATAACCTTGTAAATCAGAAGCAGCACCATATAAATGTCTTTCTCTGTAAACCATCAACATTTGATCTTTTATTTCCTCTGATGCTTTCATTTAAAAAATCATTGCATCCACCAACATTTGATATTTTATTGCTCGACTGTAAGTGTGGAAGAATGAGAAAAATACATTTGACCTCAATTAGTAAGATCTGAATTTAAATTAAATATTTCTAAAAATTAAATTCGACAAATATATAAAACACCTTAAAAAGATAAACAGGATTTATGTTCTTAATGGTTTCACAAATATATGGAATCATATTTAGGGCATCAAAATGGACATATTTAATGAAAAATACATTAGCATTAATCTTGGATGAAATGCATCATTGATGGGCAACATATTAATTGGCATTGTGAAAAGGTGTACAAACCCTGGTTGCTATTAGGTGATTTTGATGCATCATCAAAATGTTTCATGATTTGAATGTATTCCTATTGTTTCCATCATGACCTTTCCACGTAATAATCCTAATTCCTAATGACATCCATCAACAAAAATAAATGGTAAAATCTGAAATCAGTAAGCATATCCGTGTTATAAACCAAATATATATGGAGACAGAAAAGAACTTTTGAAAATACATAGTTGTAAATAAGGATGTACCTAAATAATTATAGAGAAAAATGCTTTGAATGAGTTACTTAATATATTATATATTATATATGCATAACTAACTAAATGATTTCAAAGAAGAGAGGCATGCCTTCATATTTCATTTGGTAAAATTCCGTCTATCCGGAAGCAGGGGATAAGGGAGACCTGGGGCCAATAGATGCCTCCTCTGCTAATCTTTTGTTTCAGATTTGGACATCCAGAGATCCACATTATCAGAAGCGAAGGCAACAACTTTTCTGGTAGATCTGTCGTCTTTGGGCAGTTCTGAATGATGAGACGTTGGAGGGAGGTGAGGTGTTGCAGTCCACTTGAAACTGATTCCAGTTTCTCAAATCCATCTATACCAAAATCAGTAAGGGATGAAGGAAGAAGATGCAACAATTCACCAAAACTTCTCATCTCATCTTAGGTCAACAAGTGAGGTTGGAAAATTCTATGGGCCCCTAAACTCACTAAAACTTCACATTCTCTTAAATCCAACATTTTTAATTTCATAAGAACCTTACTTGCCCCTGCTTCTGATTCCCACAAGTATCTTATGTCGTTACACCGTTTGATGCTTACGTATTCAACTGCACCAAGACACCCTATCACACCTCTCCACAGTTCATCGGTAAGTCCTGAAATATCATCTATTTTAAACTTGGTGATTGATGAAGCTGCATCGACCAGACTTTTCAATAAACCATGATCACATTTTATTAGTTTCAAAACCCTGAGTGAAGGTAGTGCTTCGAGGGAGACCCGAACCAGATTAGGACAATCTTCAATATGAAGCTCTTGGAGGCAAGGAAACGCCCCACTATTTGTTGACCATTCCTCCCACCCTGACATACTATCAAACCGTAGGATTTTAAGTGAAGGAAATGTAAGGCCGGTCCCAAGCAACTTCAAACCTACAACCTTCACCTTACTCATCCTACCAATAATCAGCTTCCTCGGTGATGGTAGTTGCCCAATTCTTGGTAGAGATGTACATTCTTCACAACCATCTATTGACACTTTAGTCAACCGATGAAATGAGGGATCCCCAACCCAATTTGAAAACTCTATACCCCTATATGACACGAGTTCAAGCTTTTTCAAAGGATTATTATGAGGCTTCAGCTCATTGAGGACCTCTTTTTCATGTGTTTCCATTCGAAGAGAATTAAACTCAAAACCCCAATTCAACTCTAACTCACTAAACCTCATTCACGATAAGTTCGACGCACGTGCATCCATTGCATTCTGCACATTGCCCAGCCCCACAATACAAACTTTTCCATGGAGACTTTGCAATTTCGTAAGCTCGGTTATTGATAAGCTAATGTCACTAAAGAGAGTTTGAAGACTTTTCAACTCACCAATACCTAAGGGCATCTCCTTCAACCTCCAAGTATTCCTCATGTCAAAATGCTGCAAATTTTTAAGCTTGGAGAAGCTCTCCGGCAACATAATCAATTCATGACAGCCAGAAACAATTAGTGTCTGTAGATGATAAAGATTGCAGACATTTTCCAGTAAATGGATAATTTTAGTTCGAGATAGATTAAGATACGGCAAGTGCTTTATACTACCAACGACTTTTGGTACCTCACTTATGCTAAGATTACTCAAACTGAGGACCCTTAACAATGGTAGCTCCTAAAGTCACTCAGGACCTTATTTGATAAGTAAAATATAGCCCAACTTTCTACCACCCCAACAGACACTGCTAAAACCCCAATAACCTGCCCAGCCTCTTCCGTCTTCTTCCGGAGGTGCTCTATGTCAATCTTCATCTCCCTCACCCTGGCTATCATATCCTCCAAGGTCGGACATGCCGAGTACCTGACATGTTTCCAGATGTCAGCCCTCAACATGTCGTGGTATCGAGTCTTCCTCATCTCCTGCATACTGAAGCACCAATAACGCCCTCTCCTAGAACTTTGCGTTAATCTCCGCCACTGACTCAGTCGCCTGCCTCATATCTAGAAACTCTATGTCTAGCTGATGAAGCTCCATAACCGGTGCAAACTCAGCTCTAAACCTAGTCATAAAGTCCTACTGGGTCATAGCCTCAATGGCCGGTGCTCCCATCGAATCACTAACCGCCTCCTACCAATCTCGAGCTCGGTCTCTCAAACAACTTGCAGCATACCGGACCTTCAACCCCTCAGGGAAGAAGTACGTCAACTGAGCAAACTTCATGTCTGCAATCCATCTCCTGGCCATAATGGGGTCCTTCACCCCCGTGAATGTCTGGCGCACCACATCCCCGGAAATCCTTGAAGGAGAGTATGTGAGTCCCTATCTGGCTAGATGCCATGTCGCTCCTGAACACCGTGAGACGATCCTCCATCAGCTCGATGATCCCTTCCTTGATCGACCCGAAAATCATCGGGTTCACCTCAAGGATGCCTCCTCTAATCTTTGACGTGATAAACTTGCATAGTCTGTCATCAACCGGCTCAGAACCTGCACCCGAACCAGATCCTAAACCTGATCTGGACCTTGAACCTCCTGCTCCGAAATGTGTCACCACCATTCTGAAACAAGACACATAATCGTCAAGGTCATACATAACCTCGAGAGGTATCACACACTCTACAAGTTCCCTGGTTCTATCTTTGTAGCAAAAAAATTGAATTGTTCAAAAATCCTTGGCTGTTTCCTCATGATACCTTACTTGTTAATAAGTTTCCTAAGAATTGGATTTCCTGAAGTTGCACTTTGAAACTTAAGCTTTATTTTCTATATCCTTAAGGTTGCTTTGTGTGTGTGTGTGTGTGTGTATATATATATATATATATATGTGTGTGTGTGTGTGTGTGTGCGTGTGTGTGTGTGTTTGTGCTATAAGCATTTGATTTAGACACGTATACTTTTATTTGCATAAGGTATTTACTAGAACTGAGAGCAAAGTTGATTAAGATTGATCCAAGCAAACCATGTTAGAATAAGGTCGTGTTTGATAGTTTATGTTCGGGAATGTGCTATCTGTGAAAGTGTTGTATGAGAAAGTTTTCTGACTGAGAAAGAAACCATGTTGTTTGATTGTACATCTGATTGATTGTGCTAAATGATGAAAATGACAATATTACTCTGTTGTTCTATGCTGTTATGGATGAAATTGTTGAAGAATTATAAAACATACAAATTGTCATATAAAATCAAAATTATACAATAATCATTTAAAAATCCAAATAGAATGTCGATTAATTTGTTTTTAGTTAATTACTTTTCAAGTTGATGTTACATTGCTATTCTTTCTAATCATTTTAGTTTTTTTTTTAATAACTCAACGTGCGATTCTTGTCCCGGTTTATGTCCGATAGTGGTGGGATGGATAAAATTTTTTAAAATATATTAGGATGGTGGTGGTGGTGTCCAAACAAAATGAATCTAATAAAAAATGAATTAAAAAAATTAACTAAAAGAAATTAATAATCCAATAAAGTAATATTTATTAATATATAATAATCCAATAAAATGAATTAATCCATAAAAAAGAAATAAATAAGAATTATTTAAAAGAAATTCATAATTCAATAAAATGACATTAATTAATACATAAATATTATATATTAAAAATAATATTTATTAATATATAATAATCCAATAAAAAATTAATAATCAAATAAAAAAGAAATTAAAAAATTTATTTAAAAGAAATTAATAATACAAAAAAGAAAGAGACGGGAAATGGGACACGATTTTTTTCCAACCTATTCAGCAAAAAATATATGATTTTGTGGCTTTCTGAGAAAGACATATCTTATTGGGAAAGACCATTTTTTTGTGCACATCAAACAGTATTTTCAGTCCATTCAGTCAGAAAGATATGTTCGAGTCTGGAAAGATACCTATCAAACGGGGCTAAATGTCTTATATAAACTTGTAATTTATGTGGTGATTTTGCAAGTTAATGAATTATGACGTCCGTAGTTGCTAATATTTAACTTCTAGGTAAAAAAAAGTTTGCATTTGTCAGGTGGATTTTATTTATTTCAAGAGTAAATTACACGAATGGTCCCTATGATTTATGGTAATTTGCGTGTTTGGTACTTAACTTAATTTTTAATTCGGAAGGTCCCTAATGTTTGTTTTTGTTACGCGTTTGGTCCCTTTCTTATCTAAAAAACTATTTTCCCTTGATTTTTTTTAATTTATTTAAATAAACACACCCCCAACCCCACCCCATACCTTACATTACTTACCCCATCATTTTTCCCTATTTAAATAATAGTCTTCTTAGGTAAGACAGACACTAAGTGCGTAACAAAAACAAGCAATAGGGATCAAGTGTGTAATAAAAATAAACAGTATGGACTTTCCAAGTTAAAAAAATAAGTTAGTGACCAAGCATGTAAATTACCCCAAACCATAGGAACCATTCATGTAATTTACTCTTATTTTAATCGATAGTATCTCTAAATATTATTAAAAGAGAAACCTTATGACATCATCTTAAACAATCTGGGTCATTGATTGTATTTTAATCCTATGTTTTTTACGCTTAGATCAAATTGCTGACATCATCTCCCCCAAATGGAATGTATTTAATTCCAATAAAAGCTTTCCAATTATCAAACAAAATAAACTTACGTCCGTTGAAATAGAGTGTTTATAATTCCAATAAAATCTTCCCATATTTTAAAATATTAATTTCCGGTTATAAAGGTTTTAATATGGTCAGCTTTAAAAACATATTAGTAACAAACCATTTCAATTAAGGTATTAATATCAACCATTAATATAAATCTGTTTATATTAGTAAAACATTAATATAAAATCAATTTTTATTAGGAAACCATTAATACCAAAAAATTAGATTCAAATTATCACATACATATACGATTCATCATTGAATTTGCGGCTCACACTTATTTTCAATCGTTGTTTTTCTTCAAACATTCTTCTACAGCATCATTCTTATTGTTTATAACTTTCATCATCATTCTTTGCTTCAAACCTTCGTTGTTGTGCAGTAAAAGGTTAGTACATTATTTCATTTTTTATATTTTTTTCGATTTTTTTGTTCCTATATCAAATATATGTATTCATATATTTCGATTTTCTATGTCACAAATTACATGAAATTGGTTAACTATTTTTTTGAAAATTTTCAAATGAACAGGAAAATATAATGTACCTTTAACAAAACAAAAATTAACTATATTTGGAATTGACACTAATAAGGAAAATGTTATTTTTATATATTATAGATGATTATGATTTTTTTTTTAATTATTATGTCATAAGAATCCGATTAATTTTGGTATGATTTAAAAATATTTTGGTATGATCCTATTACACTTTTAGGTTGATTTAATAGGAAATAATATATAATATATTTATACATCCTTTAAAATTAAGTATGGAAACAATTTTGTTGACGGCTATAATAGCTTTCATACCTCTTTATGAATCATACATCTTTATAGATAAATACATTGTATATGTCTCTTTTATTTCATATAAAAGTTCTTTCTGATTATAACTGTGTTCTCTTTCATTTTACACTTATGACACAAAACAATCGTGATGAGATCGCCTTTTAAAAGGTTGCTGACATCAATGCATCTAAGGAAACCTGAAACATTCGTGTTCAAGTACTCTTGCTTTGGAAGCAAACTTAAAAAAACAATTCAAACATGTTCAACAGCTTGGACATGATTTTAATTAACGAGTAGGTACAAGTTTTTCTTTTTATTGTTATGTTGCTTTTAATTTATAAAATTTTAAGCTTAACCAATTTTTTTCACTTACATGACACTAAAATACAAGCAACAATAAAAAAAAATCTCATTAGTCTGTTTGAAGCCCTCTTTGTTGAAGAATTTGCAAGGGAAATTAGTAGTTTTAGTATGGCCAGAAATGAAGGAGATTACATGCTGGTTGATCATAAGCATAAGAAGAATTTCTACAAAACAACTAAAGTTCGTGTATCAAATGATTTTGTTGTTATGGTGGATCCTTATAATTTTGATACTTTCCAGGATTTGATAGCCAGTAATCTCGACACTCGTGTTTCATTTGGTAAGATTTGATTTTAACATTCTATCTTATCTACACATAAATACTTATTGTATTACACGTCTATAATACAACAACCATTTGTTTTTTTGTTATAGAATTTCTTGGTCAGGTTGTGTCGACTAATCCCATAAAAGTGATTATTGAGAATTCAAGAGATAAGTGGTTTATGAACCTGGTTGATCAGGATCTAAGTCAAATATATGTGTTTAAAACATTTTATTTTCTAAAGTATTTTACTACATGATACCATAAAACATGTCGTTTGCATGAAAATTACATGTTTATCGACATTTCAATATACATGAAAATTAAATGTTTATCTATACTTCAATATACATGTTTATTTTAGCATTATTTAAAACATTTTGAATCCACTAATTATAGAATTCACATTTTGTCATACAGGAAATAATTCGTTGATCATTATCACAGGGTCCACTTATGATCTTCTCACTACCAAATTGGTCGACTATAGTTAGAGCTCTTTCACACATTTTTTTATCACATTTCTTCATACTTTTAAGTTTTAAATTTTCATCTTCAAATTCCATTTTTTAGTTACATACGTTCATTAAAATAGTTTTTTTTGTTTAACATACCAGCCTATTTTGTTTTATCTTTATATAGTAACAATAAAATTTATAAATTTACACAACAATATATATTTCGAATTTTGTCATAGTATTGTACTTTACAAAATACAATTCCCTCCAAAATAATTTTCGTCGGTATTTTCATCCATAATTAATTTCACCCAATTTAAATTTGTATTTTCTTTATATAATTTTTTTTTTAATGATCCCGGTATTTTCCCTCCAAAAGTATATCAAACATTTATGTCTTAGATAATGTTGCCCCATTATAATTATTACTTTCCAAAATATATCCGTTTAATGAAGAATTTAATTTAGCGAAGGAAGTAAATGTTAATTCAAACAAGATATATATTCCATAATTATTACATGAGTTTATTAGAAAAAATATCAAGATGTAAACATTAAGCATTTTTAAATGAAATTTCAGAATACATACGAACAGTAATATTGTACAACGAAATATAAAATTGAATAGACTGAAAAAAAAACTATTAAGATGGTCAATCTTAATACTAATATACTTATGAAAAATTATAAAGTAAGATAAAAATTATAAGATATTAAGAAATTTGTAATTAGAATTAGTAAAAGTGTTACGGTTATTAAAAAAAATAAGATCGTTAAGATTAGTAAAAATGCAATATACAAATTAAATTATCACAATGGTAATGAAATGTTATTATTTGATATTTCATATAATTGAAAGATATATCAAATTACATTGATGATATACTAAAATTATTCAAAGTTACGCTAAGACTAATGCAAAGTTTTTGCTAACACCAAATAAGTAAGAACAAACATAAAAGCTAGCACGTATTCGAGGTAGAATTAGTAATCATACCAAAACAATATAATACATACTATAAATACAGAATGAAATTGACGTTCTAAAATCATTGAGTAATAAATAACAATGGTAACTCGCTATGATGTTTGTATGTATTATTAATGTTGTAGTACAAAGTTTGAGTGGTTTGAGGACTTTATGTAAAAGAGCAGTTAACACCATCAACTATGAGTCCAAACAAAGTTTATTTTATTTCATAAAATATAAGGTCCTAAAGGGTTAACGATTCTTTGTAATTTAGCATCTACAACTGACCATATGCTCATTGTCATTTTACATCCGGAAGTTCTCTAGAGGACATCACTCCAGTAGTACCACTAGGTGTAAATCAATAACCATTTGTAAATATAGAAGTTAGTTTCTCCAAAGAAAGTATACAAGAATCTAGAGTGGAGAAAAGCAAAAAATATCAAAGATAGTCATAAATTAAAAAGCGTAATTCAAAGTGCATTCTGCCAGCTGGCAAATAATTTTATCAGAAAGTAAAATGAGTTATTAAAGTTATACATCATCCAATGAAAGTTAAGGATACATGGACTCTGTTTTCAACTTTTTGGAATAGCAGATGGAGCTCTCTGTTTTTGCTCAGTTTTCGATTTAACTCTAAAACATAACCATTATAGGATGTCTCTTGATGTAAACAAGAAGTTTTCTTTTTCTTTGCGTTCATTCAAGTCTAGAAAATAAGTAAATATTGTAAAGTTATATAAAAGCAAAACAAGATTGCAACATCGAGGCTATGCAGAAATTGAGCCTTCACAGCTTGGATCATTAGGAGGAGTTCTGCAGTTAACTTCCATGGATGATCGTTGGCCAGTAAGTCATTCACCTATATATACATCAACATTCCATTTTAAAATAATTTAGAATAAGAAAAACTGAAGTAGAAAATTTCGAAAAACATTGGCCATATAAGGGCTTTCAGTCAACATAGGGGTTTGTCAATCTAATAGAAACGAACCTTGTAAATCAAAAGCAACACCATATAAATGTGTTTCTCTGTAAACCATCATCATTTGATCTTTTATTTCCTCTGATGCTTTCATTTAAAAAGTCATTGCATCCACCAACATTTGATCTTTTATTGCTCGACTGTAAGTGTGGAAGAGTGAAAAAAAATACACTTGACCTCAATTAGTAAGATCTGAATTTAAATTAAATATTTTTAAAAATTAAATTTGACAAATATATAAAACACCTTAAAAAGATAAACAGGATTTATGTTCTTAATGGTTTCACAAGTATATGGAATCATATTTAGAGGCACCAAAATACATTAGCATTAATATTGGATGAAATGCATCATTGATGGACAACATATTAATTGGCATTGTGAAATGTGTACAAACCCTGGTTGCTATTAGGTGATTTTGATACATCATCAAAATGTTTCATGATTTGAATGTATTCCTAATGTTTCCATCATGACCTTTCCATGTAGTAATCCTAATTCCTAATCACATCCATCAAAAAAAAAAAACGTACTTGTAATTAAGGTTGTACCTAAAAAATATGTAGAGAAAAATTGTTTGAATGAGTTATTAAATATATTATATAAGCATAACTAACTAAAAGATTTCAAAGAAGAAGGGCATGCCTTCATATTTCATTTGGTAAAATTCGGTCTATCCGCAAGCAAGGGATAAGGGAGACGTGGGGCCAATAGATGCCTCCTCTACTAATCCTTTCTTTCAGATTTGGGCATCCTTCAATCCACAATACCAGAAGCAAAGGCAACAAGTTTTCTGGTAGATCTGTCGTCTTTGGGCAGTTCTGAATGATGAGACGTTGGAGGGAGGTGAGGTGTTGCAGTCCACTTGAAACTGATTCCAGTTTCTCAAATCCATCTATAACAAAATCAGTAAGGGATGAAGGAAGAAGATGCAACAATTCACCAAAACTTCTAATGTCATCATATGGTCCGCCATATAATCTTAGGTCAACAAGTGAGGTTGGAAAATTCTGTGGGCCCCACTCTGAGATGGGCTTCTTCAACCCTCCTATTTCAAGGCAAGTCAATTTTAGAGGCCAAAGCCCACGAGGAAAAGATGCATCCGTACTTGTACACTTTTGTATATCCAGATATGTTAAAGAGGTGAGATTCGGCAACTCATGGTCAGGAAATGACTCCATACTTGAACACTCTATTATTGTCAACCTGACGAGGTTAATGAAGTAAACCCAACGTAGTGATCGATTTCAGATTTGGCCAATTATGTATATTGATTTTAGATTCAACAAACTCATTTTCCAATAGTTTCTTGCAATTGGTGATGACAAGTGACCTGAGCTTTTGCATTCCTCCTGTTGGGAAGGAGACGGATGTAATTGAATCACAACTTCCAATATCCAAATCCTCCATGCTATTTGGACAACTGCAATGCTCCAAGCTGTTACAATCCGATACTTTCAAGATCCTAAAAGATGTTAGGTTGCTCCCACTATTAATAATATCCTCCTCTTTCTCCCCTAAACTCACCAAAATTTTACATTCTCTTAAATCCAACATTTTTAAATTCATAAGAACCATACTTGCCTCTGCTTCTGATCCCCACAAGTATCTTATGTCGTTACACCGTTTGATGCTTACGTATTCAAATGCGCCAAGATACCCTGTCACACCTCTCCACAGTTCATCGGTAAGTCCTGAAATATCATCTATTTTCAACTTGGCGATTGATGAAGCTGCATCGACCAGGCTTTTCAATAAACCATGATCACATTTTATTAGTTTCACAACCCTGAGTGAAGGTAGTGCTTCGAGGGAGACCCGAACCAGATTAGGACAATCTTCAATACGAATCTCTTGAAGGCAAGGAAACGCCCCACTATTTGTTGACCATTCCTCCCACCCTGACATACTAGAAAACCGTAGGATTTCAAGCGAAGGAAATGCAAGGCCGGTCCGAAGAAACTCCAAACCTACAACCTTAACCTTACTCATCCAACCAATAATCAGCTTCCTCAGTGATGGTAGTTGCCCAAGTCTTGGTAGAGATGTACATTCTTCACAGTCATCAATCGACACTTTAGTCAACCGAAGAAACGAGGGATCCCCAACCCAATTTGGAAACTCTATACCCCTATATGACACGATTTCAAGCTTTTTCAAAGTATTATTATGAGGCTTCAGCTCATTGAGGACCTCCCTTTCATGTGTTTCCGTTCGAAGAGAATTAAACTCAGAACCCCAATTCAACTCTAACTCACTAAACCTCATTCGCGATAAGTTCACCGCACGTGCATCCATTGCATTCTGCACATTGCTGAGCCCCACAATACAAACTTTTCCATGGAGACTTTGCAATTTTGTAAGCTCGGTTATTGCTAAGCCAATGTCAGTGAAGAGAGTTTGAAGACTTTTCAACTCACCAATCCCTAAGGGCATCTTCTTCAACCTGAAACTACCCCTCATGTCAAAATGCTGCAAATTTTTAAGCTTGGAGAAGCTCTCCGGCAACTTAATCAATTCATGACAGCCAGAAACGATCAGTGTCTGTAGATTATAAAGATTGCAGACATTTTCTGGTAAATGGATAATTTTAGTTCGAGATAGATTAAGATACCGCAAGTGCTTCATACTACCAACGACTTCTGGTACCTCGGTTATCCTAAGATCACTCAAACTGAGGACCCTTAACTAGGGGTGTAAGTGAGCCGAGCTACTCGTGAGCTACTCGAGATCGACTCGTTAAAAGCTCGACTCGAGATCGAATTAAACGAGCCCGAGCCGAGCTCGAGCCTAGATATGAGGCTCGTTTACTAAAAGAGCTCGAGCCGAGCTTCAATTAATGGGGCTCACGATCCTAAACGAGCTTAAACAAGCCTCTTTATATATATATATATATATATATATATATATATATATATATATATAGACACACACACACACACACACATATATATATATATATATATGCATAGAGGCTCGTTTAGGCTCGATTAGGCTCGCGAGCCCACTAAATTTCTCATGAGCCGAGCTCGAGCTTCATTTTAAGGCTCGAATCGAGCTCGAGCTCGAGCTCGAGCTTCCTCAAATTAAACGAGCCGAGCTCGAGCTTGGTCAGGCTCGGGCTCGGCTCGGCTCGTTTACACCCCTACCCTTAACAATGGTAACTCCTGAAGTAAGTCACTCAGGACCTTATTTGATAAGTAAAATATAGCCCAACTTTCTACCACCCCAACAGACAATGCTAAAAACGTTCTCAAATTTTTAGCTCCTTTGAATGGCTTGAACCTTTTGTAGACCATGTAATCCTCACAAACAAATGACATATCGTGGTGCTTCTCCAAAGCTTCCATCCTAAATTCCTTCTTCATCTCTATGTCTAACCTTGAAAAAAAATCTCCAGCAACAAATGTAGCCAAGTCATTCATGAGGTCATGCATCACAAACACCGATTTGTCATCAGGGGCTTATTGAAAAAATGATCTTGATAGCAGCTCTTCAAAATATTCAAGACCTAACCATTGCTTTGACTTGTTTGTAGTTGGTTGGTGCAAAAACCCTTCTGCGATCCACAATAGAATCAACTCCTCTTTGTCAAACTCATAATCCTTGGGAAACAAAGAGCAATATGCAAACAACAGCTTCAAAGTGGCAGAAAGATCATTGTAGCTTAGTCTAAGAGCCGGAACAATCTCATCTCTCTTTCCTAACTTCCAAATCTCACTATCCAACAACTCCTTCCATTCTTCCTCATCTGTTTTTGTCCTCAATAACCTCCCAAGTGTTATTAAAGCTAAGGGCAAGCCATCACATTTTTTCACAAACAATTCCCCATGTGGCCTTAGTGTTGGATGTGTATCAAAGTTATCTACACCCAATGCGTGTTGAGCAAACAAAGACAAAGCATCGTCATGTGTTAGACCTTGCAAAGGGTCTTGATGAGAAAAACTCAGCTTTCTTAGCAATTGCTCCTTCCGAGTTGTCATGATAATCATACTTCCAGGAGACCCCGCAAAAAATGGGCCCACTAATTTCTCCCAATCACGATAGCTTTCAGACCACACATCATCCAGAACTATTAGAAATAACTGATTCCAAAGTTTTTCTTTAAGAGCTTCTTGAAGCAGATTTAAGTCTTCAAACTCCTTTTTTTCCCCAGTTACAGATTGATAAATTACTTTGCTTATATTGAGGATATTAAATTCATCAGAAACACAAACCCAAGCCCTGAGTTTGAAGTGATCCTTCACCTCCTTTTCATCATACAACATTCTAGCTAGAGTTGTTTTGCCTACACCACCCATACCAACTATGGGCACTATGCTGAAGTTTTGACTACTAAATTCATCCCTATCCCCCAATAGCTTCTTAAGCAATTTATTCTTTTCATACTCACGTCCAACAATACCACTAGGATCTATCAAAGATGCCTCATATCTTTCAACTTTGGGCTTTTCATTTGCTATCACACTTAAACCAAGATTATTTTTTGCCTCTACGAGTTCTCGTAACCTGGTGGCAATATCATCTAACTTGGCATGCATCCTACTATTTAGTGTGAAACTTGTGCAACAACTTGGGATTAGCTTTCTTACCTTGCTGCTAGTGGATCCAGATTTCTCAGTCAACTCACGTTCGATAGCCTCGGTTGCCAAATCGTCAAGTAGGTCGTCAATGTCGTAAGCCAAATGTTGGAGACCATTCAGCCATCTTTTAACGGCTTCATTAGTTACTTCCTTCTGCGAGGCATCATTAAGCAGATCTTGGATCTGGTCTAATGTCTTCTTCAATTTCTTGAGCTCAGAATCAATTCCTTTGGAGCGTGCAATCTTCTTCAAGGCTTCAGATGTCAGCTTTTCAAAGACCACTGTCAAGAATGCAGAAAGAACGATTTCAGCCATGGTTTATGGTAACAGCAGAGAATATAGTAGAGGTGTCGATCAAACGGATGCAAAGAGGGAATGATTTCAATTATATGCAGCAGAAATGGATGATGAGTGAGATCCATTTCAGATTAAATTAATGTCCTCAAAGTTAAAGTTAAAGTTGCACAAAGTTAAAGTTAAAGTTGGAATTGAGGAGTTTCAACGAAAAGATAAAGAGAGAGAACTATTAGTATCCATTTGTTCTCAATTAAAATATATTAATTAAACGGTTTACACCGACGTAGGGTAGCGAATAAAACTTTGCAAGTGAAACTTATTTGTTGATGTAAAAGTTCCATGGACCCATAATTCACCTTCTATCCATGAAAACTGATGAACAACTGAACCGACTACTCGGGCAGCCCATGATGACAAGAATCAGTTATTTCGGATCTTCGATGAGGTTAGAGTCGCCCAACACCATCCAACTTCGATGATTCTGACTCCGGCTGCCATCAATTCATGTTACATTTCGACAGAGATAAACATTGCGGAACAAATTCCTCCACCATCTGGTCTCCTTCTCCATTATGTTTAAAACATAAATTCATGATGTTTTAATTTCAAAATTCCCAAAATTAAATCTCATTACTTTCTTTTATTTATTTAAATTATTTGTTTAAATTTAAAATATAAAAAAAAAAAAAACATTTTCATCATAATAATTCATTATTTTTCTTATTTTCTTATAAATTCAAAGTTTTTAAATATTTTGACATTATATATATATATATATATATATATATATATATATATATATATATATATATATATATATATATATAGGAGTAGGATCAAATGAGAACACCTAAAAGGTTGAGAACGCGAGAACAGATCTAGGCTCTCCAAATTTTAAAATCAAAGGTTAATATTAACGGAATATTTATATAAATTCTGAAAGTCAAAGGATTAAACTGTAACTTCTTAATTAACTAAAAGGGTACTGTAGTCATTAGATTTTATCTTATTTTTATCAGCTCCTAAAATCTCTCTCTCTCTCTCTCTCTCTCTCTCTCTCTCTCGTTTCCTTTAAACCCTAATTGATGGAAGCCAACACTAAAAAAACGTACGCCTCTTCCCTCTCATCTCTCCACTGCCGATCTTTTGAGTTTTCTTCAACCTAGCTGTCACACAAGACAAAAAATACCACCACTACCATCGTGATTGTCGAATCCGCCAACAACACAACCGCTACAGTCATCATCACACAACAATTATCTCTGTGACTGTTGCTGCAAGCGAACAATAAGGGTTTGAAGGGCCCACTTGCGAGCCAAGGAATAGGACTTCACGCATGAGGGTGGTAGGATCTCAGTGGCAAGATTGCAACGAAGGACCCTCCAACTAGGGTAGTACGAGGCTGAGGTGATGTTGAGAGTCGCCAAGGTGCTAGGGCGGCCGGAGAAGCCTGAGTCTCACTGGATGAGTAGTTGGTGGGAGAGATCTTGGTTGCCGACAAAGATGAGTTGACGAGAACCAATAGAAAGAGTGACCAATGTTCCATTTTTTAATTTAAGATTTCTGATGATTGGGACGAGCTCTTGGATGGAATTGGTTAACAGTAGGAAGTTAGAGACGAGAAACGAGGGTCCTGGTGGTAGCTTCTCAACAAAGGTAAGAAAACATTATCGATATCAAGTGCTTTATTGCTAATCAGAGAGATGCGAGAGAAAGTTTTGAACTGACTTTGAAGGTTCTGAGAGTTCTTCCAAATGGGTTTTGTTGAGGTCCTTTGGATTTGTTTGAGAAGATGAAAGTTGCAGAATTTGAGCTATTATGTTCTGTATTTTTTAGATGTAAGTTATATTATATTTTGATAAATTCATTTATGTTAGAATGCATATGTATTTATGAATAGTAGTGTATTCATTTGTGATTAGCAGTTCATTCATGTGTGAACGAATGTATTTATTTATGATTAGAGGTATTCAATTCTGAATAATAACGTACTCATTTGTTAATAGCAGTTTATTCATTTGTGAATAACACTGTAATCATGTGTTAATGAGTGTATTTATTTATGATTAGATGTATTCTTTTTATGAAGAAATGATAGTTTTTACACTATTTTTATTTCCAGTTGATTAAAAAAAAGAATTTGATTACTTGTAAATTGATGTGTAGTCATTAGTGATTGGAGCAGTAACAAGTTTCTTTAAAAAAAATCAATTATTAATACAAATGTATTAATCTGGGGTTCGACTTATATTCATTTTTTTTAACACAAAAAACGTGAAATAGGAGAAAAAAAAATGAATTTTTTAAGAAAAAAAAATATATTTTTAATTTTAAAATAAATTTTGGTAAAAATGTTTTTTTTATATCCCATTAATAAGAAAAATAAAAAAATCAAATATTTATTTCTTTTTTGGTAACTGGTCCTAAATTTAAGGGATTTAGATTGATTTTTAATTTATTTTAATTTAATTAAAATATACAATTACTAATATGCCCTTATTGATTGATTGGTCCAGAATTGTTCTCGCGTTCTCAACCTTTTAGGTGTTCTCATTTGATCCTTCCCCTATATATATATATATATATATATATATATATATATATATATATATATATATATATATATATATATATATATATATATATATATTAAAATTATCACATGTTATACATGAATCTCACAATTCGTTACTTCACTACTAGAAAACTACCTATTTACCTACAACAGATTTCGTAGGTAATTTGTAGATAAAACGGGTTAACTACGGATTGCTTACGGAAACAGCTCCATAGGGATATAGCTCGTGGGTAATTGGTTGCCACGCTTTGCCTAAAGAATTTCCTACATATTGACTACGGAAATTTTAGTTGGTAATTTACCTACAGATTACCTACAAAAACCTATTTTACTACAGATTCCCTACATCATTATTACCTACTGATTCCCTACATAATCATTTCCTAAGAATTGCCTACAGAATATTTTACTACATAATATGTATCCGTTGATATCCGTCACTAAAATGATTTTATTTAAAAAGACTAAAATTTAATTGTAATAAAATCCATATTTTTTCAGCCCAAAATATAGAAAAACCCAATACATGTGACCTAAATCTGGCACCACTCAGCCCTTGTGGCCATGGAGGTTCGTCTGCAGTGACTCCAGGGCATGAAGCAAAGCTTTATGTTTGCAGCAGGGGATTAGTCGGTGCGCGAAAGCTAGCCCGGAAACCCTCGTTAGGGAAGTTTCCTTTCAAAAAAAAAAATCACATTCATATTCAACCGCAAAACAAATATTCATTATAAGAAAAATGTATCAAATACATTACAAATGTTTTAAAAAAAACATAAAGCTAAAAACTATTTAGCAGATTACCAAGTTAATTGTTCAAATGTCTCAAAATGACCGTCGCACATTAATTTCATGTTGTCTTATTTGCAATCACACATCCATTGTAGCTTGTCTTTCCTGCAGTTGCAAATAAAATTGAGTGGTTCCATCAACATCTTTTTGTGAGATGGTTCAACCTAAAGGATCCAAATTTCATCATATGTTAGAGTATCGTTGTCATGCATGAAAGTATACCATTTCTTACTTCCTCTCTTGATGGATATATTCCACCTAGCAAGGCCTAAGTCAATATGACATACATTTAGAAACATGTAACAAGTCAATGAAAATTGAATAAAGGGTCAAATAACCTACAAAGAAATATTATCTGTAAGTATTTCAAATATGTGATAATAATACTAAGGGTAGTGTAGATATCTACCATATAGTTGGAAGTTAAGAAAAGCAAATTTCAGCAACCATGTCTCATACATCCCTGCAATGACACATGGTCCAACTATAATTACAATAGTTGAGATTCAAGAATTAAAACATCATAAGCAAACTCTTGTGTAAACACATTCAAGCAACAATGGATATAGGAATAAAAAACTACCCCAAACATCATTCAAGCAATTGAAGCAATCAACCTAACAAAAGGAACATAATCAAATCACACATTATCAATTTGCATCTTAATCTATGTTTACTTACTATAATTCTTTTTCATTTCAGAAACTAACTACTAGATTGACTGCCTCATATATAATGTACAAATCCATGTGATCTTATTTACCAAAAGAAACAAGCATCCGACTTAAATAAAAACCAAAAGAATATGACATAGCTATCAAGAATGATCGCATCACTTTCAAACTTTGCTTGTAAAAGAAGTTGATTAACACCCCATCCCTAAACATTCTTGATAATCCAAGGATTAAGAATTTTAGGGCTATTAGAAGGTAAGTATAAGTCATTTGACAATTATAATTACTCTGGGCCAGCACGTGGTTCATCAAAAGTCAAAAGCCATGAGTTCCAAAGTTTTACAAAGACACCTGAACTGCTGAAGTATAAACAAAAACACTTGGCAACAATTGGAGTTCCTACTTCCTACGCTAACTCAACCAGCTTGATGTAGTTTTGACAAATAATCGAGAAATAGGGGAGAATATCAGCATCACCAGATTTACAAAGGGTGTACATCAGGACATCAAAATAGACATCGATTTTTTGAGAAGATAAACTTACCAATAACTCTGTTTCCTGATAAATTTTTTTATAAATATAGACCATTTGAGCTAACTAATAATAAAAACTAAAACGGTTCGTGTCATTAATTGTTTCTTGCTAAAATCTATGAATATCATGGTTCTAAAAGACATGTCATGACTCCACCAAGCATGCTATGGCGCAATCCATGACTGTGTCGTCTCGAAAACCTAATCACGACAACATTAGACATCAACCAATGATTTTTTCAATGAGCCAAATTTCCTTATGGCAAGGGATTCTTTCAAGACACTTTCTGTTAATCATTATGTAGATCAAACATCAACCGTTGATTTTTTTTTACTTTTTGTTATTAGATAATTTCTTGAAAAGACATGATATGTTTTATACACTTCAATCACACACTGAAGATGCAACGAATTATGAGTCTATATTAAAAAATCTATCTTTTTTCCATTCATTGGTGTATTTTTATCTTGTTGGAATAACTCTCATGTTTTTTATTTTTTATCTTTTTTTTTAGATTTTGAACAAGAGGTGTATGTATGGTTGCTTTGCAGGTTCCTTTCAATTCAGTTTAATCATAAGCATCAGAGTTGCATTGTGCCTTATTTGTCAAGTTTTTGTTTCTTTTTTTATTTAATTTTATGTTTGTAGGAAAATATTACATGTAAGTGATACTAAAATGCTAGTATTATGTATTTTGAACTTAAATTGATAATTTCACTTTTGAGCAGGCCGGTAATGGGAAAATAAAGCAAGCAACATCAAAGTACACATAAAGAAATGAATGATTATGAGAAGAATAGGCTTTTGAGGGTTCAAGAAAACCAAGCAAGACTAAAAGATGTAGTATTTAAAAGCATTGCATATTCTTTGACAAGTTTGGTAGAAAGTCAAAAATCAAAGAAAAAACAAGTGAAACCATCATATACCGGTGCTAGAGATTTAGACTATATTCCTGATTTTGGTGATAATAATGATGCAGATTACCACGAAGTTGCTAGAAGTATTGAAGTATCCAAAAAGGTAATCAGATTAGCAAATCTCTAATTGTTTCATTTTAATGTTGATCTTATATAATGAAAAGTAAATTTGTTACAGCAAAATCATCCACAGTATATTGCACCAATGTCCATGAACAGAATTGCTAATTTAACAAGGCAACGTTGGGTGATTGTTCCAAATGTCTCTAATAAGTATCCATTGGTTTCGAATGTAACAAAAGAAAAACAATCTAGAGCAAAAACTAGTATGAGTGAATTAATCTTAAGGAATAAAGGATCGCAAAGAGGAAGGGATGTATTCAAACAAAATGCAGAAAAGCATAATTGTATCAAAAGCGGAGAAAAGAGACAATTGGCTCTTATTGATGAGGATGAGGATGATGAGATATCTCAAGGTAGTATCTTGTCAATATAAATGTTTATTTAATTAATGATCAATAACAAAGTAACCTCATAAAACTACATGTTATTGGAGCTGATATGGAACAATTTGGTTTGAAAGATGATGTCAATGAAGGATATATTGTGCAATGTGAAGGTATTTTTGATTATTTTAATGAATATTTCATTTTTTGTTATATTTTTTTTGTAATTGATATTTATTATTGGTGTTATATTTACTAATTAATTAGAAGATGATGTTCATCAAAATGGTAACTATGAAGACATGGGCCATTTGACATATGGAAATATTGAAAATGAGATCGAAGTTGATGACAACGATGACGATTTGGGAAATGAGGATGATGTACTTTTTGAAGAACAATTAGAAGAGCCCCAATTAGAAAAGGAAACAGGTTCAATTTCACTACTTGATCATGTTTTTTGTTTGTCATATATATATATATATATATATATATATATATATATATATATATATATATATATAATATATATATATATATATATTATATATATATATATATAATTCTATGTTGGAATGTAATAATTTCTACACCCAAGAAAAGAGGACCAACAATGTTACATGTTGTTCACACGTGGAAAGTTAATCAACGTGAGGTCATTATATGTAATGAGTATGGACAACCCGTTGAACCGATAACAAAAGGGAAGGACGTAGTAGGAAATAGCTTGTACCCATAGTTATGCCCCATTGACATGTACCTCATGGCACAAAGTTCCTCATCAAGATAAGATATGGGAGTATGCATTGGTAAGTTTTTAAGTAGCTTTATTCTTCCATCTTCTTTTATTTTCCTTTCATTTTACTAATTACTGATTTTTATGGGGAAATACGATGTGCCCGATGATGCTAAAACTTGGGTTCTTGGGACAATTGGAAATTCGTATAAGGTATACAAATGTAGGTTCAAGAAAAAAACACTTCTATTAATTTAAGGACAATAAAACAAGATGAAAGAACTGACCTGAATGCATTCCTCAAGAAGAGTTCTCAAAACTATTAGTGTTATGGAATAAAAAAGATGTATCGGTAATTTCATAAACATTATCTTTATTACTAGTGTTTTTTAATATTTGACTTGTTTTTTGGTGTATTTCAGTTGAATTTTATATATATATATATATATATATATATATATATATATATATATATATATATATGTGTGTGTGTGTGTGTGTGTGTGTGTGTTTGTGTGTGTGTAGAAATGCTATTCGCGGGCAAAAGAAATATGCAAATCTCCAAAAAATATGCACACGGCTAGTCCAAAAAGTTTTGCTAGAATTTGTGACGAGATGGTAATTAACGTCATCTTTTTGCTTGTGATTTGTGTTTTTATCTTCCTACACTTTGATACTTTCTGTTTGATATTTATGTTATCATGAGTATAGAAAAATGAATATACAAACAAGGAATTCCTCACTCTAACTCAAATGTTTGAACATATACGTAAAAGGACAGATGAGCATGTATATCGTGATACAGATGATGATACGGCAAATAAAATTGTAAGTTTGTATTTCAATTTTACAATAGGTTTTTCCTTTTGATAGTAAACTACATTTTTAGACATTAAATTGTAGTTTTTTAGACGTTCAATTGCAATTTTTTATATGTTAAAATACAGTTTTTTATACGTTAAAGTACAATTGTTTAGATGTTAAAATGTAGTTTTTTTAGATGTTACAATGCAGTTTTTTTACATAAAACAATCTTTTTACTAAAATTATCATATTCATTTTTAATAACCTTGTAGGAACAAATGAAGAAGTGCGAACATCTATAAAATGAAAGTGATGTCGTAGATCCTTATATGATTGTGATGAAAAAAGATAATGATGGATACTGTCGACTTTATGGTAGAGGTGTTACTAATAGACTGATAAAAAAAGTGGGTGGTGATGCATCATACATAATTTCGGTGAGACTTATGGAATCATTCAAAGCAAATGAACTTGGAATAAATGAGTTGATTGAAATGCGGAAAGAGATTCAAGAGAACCATGAAAAATAAAGGCTGAATTAGAAGCTATATGAATAGATATTAAAAACCAACAAGAAAACCTTGAAGCCATGATGCAAAAGTTGGCGGAACAACAACCTCGAGAAGGTTGATAATTGCTAATATGATTTATCTTCTATTTTTAATACATGACTAGAATGTTTTTAATATATATATATATATATATATATATATATATATATATATATATATATATATATATATATATATATATAGTTGATTATAGTTGACAATTTTGTGTTGACTTTGATTTATGGTTATTTTGAATTTAAACATGTCAAAGGAGACCATAAAATTATATAATATATTTATGTTATTATTGTTATGTTGTAATTTTAGTAGTAATGAATATTTATAGCAATGTAGTAAACATACGTAGTATCTATATGATTAGGAAAAAAAAATGTCACACTAAAAATTAGAAAAATCACAAAAATAAAGTTGCATTTGACTCTAAACAATGTTGCATTTTTTGCAATTAAAGACATAATAAATGTTGCATATGTTGTATAGAAAGGTTGCAATTTTTTACTAGAAACATAATAAAGATTGCAATTTATTATAAAAAAAGGTTGCATTTTCGTAACTAAAACGGTTAAAAAAAGCTGCATATAAGCATTAAAAAGTTGCTTTTGCATAACACATGTTGCAATAAAAAAGGTTGCATTTAAAAAAAATTGCAACTATCTTAAAAAAGGTTGCATTTTCGAAGGAAAAAGTTGTTTTAGATCCAATGCAACTTTTGGTCAAAATGTTGGTTTAGGCGTTATGCAACTTTTTCAAGGCCTAATGTAAATGCTACAATACGACTAATAAATAAAGACAAACAATATAAGAAAAAACAAAAAAAGAGCTTTTAATTCAAAGGAAGAAAGTGAAACATCTAAAAAATACAAGCCAAAAAATTTGTTTTTAAAATCATTTGACAAACATAATCTCATCATCATAAAATAAAATCATCAAACATATATTTCGAATCTCATAAAATCTGTCAACAAATAATTGTCTCATAAAATATCAGAGTAACTCCTAGGCTAATCAACTGTGGTGTGTGTCATGCCATCAGCTCGAGCCCTTCCCTTCGCTAGCTGAAGTACCTGAAACCAAAACAGAAACTATAAGCACGAAGCTTAGTGAGCTCTCCAAACTACCACATACCATACAAAGCACATATACAACTATTGGGCCTCGCCCACTGCATCGGGCCCCGCCCGGCATAGAACCGAAGTTTGGAATAACTTGGGACCCACCCATTACATCGGGCTCCGGCCAGTATCGGACCGAAGTCCGTAATAGACTAAGCATAAGATAAACGTAAACATATAACATATTCACATAAACTGCATCGGGCTTGGCCGACATCGGACTAGAGTCCGCAACATATAACACATAACATAAACATGCATGAATCACAAAGACATCAAGCATACATAACTACTTCTCCGGACCACCCAGGCATCGGACCGAAGTCCGGAATAAACTAAACACATAAATTGCACATATAAACTGCATCGGGCTAACCCCGACATACTGTAACTACATAAACAGGCCGGCCTTGGTGCCTTAGACCTGTTCCTACTGAAGGGAAACTCACCTCGTATGTCTGACCGCTGAAACTCTGTGTGAGAAATCTCTGCCTGCTGCTCCGGCGACTATCCGGCTATAATTTCCATAAAGAAACTTAGTCAAAAACTAATAACTAATCTTAGGGTAAAATGACCATTTTACCCCTGGCTAAAGTCAACATCCTGGTCAAAGTCAACTTCCAGTTGACTCGACTCACCGAGTTGGCCCGCCAACTCGCCGAGGCCCTATTCTTTCACATGTCCCCAAACCGACTCTACTCGTCGAGTCTAGCAAGAACTCGACGAGCTCTCCTTCAATCATATCATCGGGGCAATCTTCGACTAACTTGTTGAGTTCTTCCTTGAACTTATCGAGTTAATCTTCATCATATGAGCGTGTCTAGTCTGTGACTCGCCGACTTGTATGAACAACTCTTCGATTCCATCTTCATGGGTTGGGAGATTGCTTTGGACTCATCAAGTACATTCATACACTCGCCGAGTCCCATGGTTTCTAGGTCCATAACTATGTCTATTTCATTGAGTCCTTCCTCTGGGCTCATCTAAATTCCGTCTAAACTAAATTGGATTCCTTCGAATCATAAAAGGTTGGGGAAACCAAACCCCCGACTAGTCGAGTCCCAAGAACGACTCGCCAAGTCGACTAATGTCCATGTCCATAACTAGATTTCTGTTGTGCAAAACTCATTCAAACGGTAGATCTGGGCTCCTACAGTCGATATAACATGTAAAGTCATGAACTTTACGTCCAAAGCATGGGACTTTAAGCTCAAAAGACCCAAAAATGAGGTCTACAAGATGCATGGGGCTGTCATGGCCATAAAGCTTGCATATTTAAGCCATGTACTCCTCCTATGAACCTCGATCTTAGATATGAACCACTTGGGACGTCCCAACATCAAGGACCAAGATCTTAGATATGAACCACTTGGGACGTCCCAACATCTCGAAGAGAGGCCGGTCTATACTGGAGTGGGTAGTTGTTGTTATATGAAAATTCCGCTAACGGAAGATACGTATCCCAACTGCCACCGAAATCTAACACACATGCCCGAAGCATGTCCTTGAGAGTCTGAATCATCCTCTCACTCTGTCCGTCCGTCTGAGGGTGGAAAGCGGTGCTGAAATGGAGACGAGTACCCATCTCGTCGTGAAACCACTTCCAAAACCTGGAAGTAAAACGGACATCTCGGTCTGACACCACCGAGACAAGCACTCCATGACGTGCCACTACCTCTCGCACATAAATCTCGGCCAAATTCTCGGCCGATATGCTTTCTTGGATCGATATAAAATGGACGCTCTTGGTCAACTGATCCACGATTACCCATATCGAATCGACCCCACGTGCGGTCCTGAGAAGCTTAGTAATGAAATCCATAGTGATATCCTCCCATTTCCACACAGGAATGTCTAACGGTTGCATCTTGTCGTGAGGCTCTGATGCTCTACCTTGACCTTCCTGTGGGTCAGGCATCTCTCCACATACCAAGCGACATCCTGCTTCATGCAGGGCCACCAGTAATCGGGTCGAAGATCTCTGTACATCTTCGTCGCCCTTGGATGGATTGAGAACCGAGACTTGTGGGCCTCATCCATCAACACTTGTTGTACTCCGCCCTAGTACGGTACCCAGACCCTCCCATGCAGGGTCAACAATCCTCCGTTGTCGTAATCAAACGAAGCCACTCGGCCTATTATCCTTTCGCACTTCCGGCCCACAACCTGTGCCCCTCTAATCTGCTCCAGCAGTGGAGTAATCACTGTCATCCTCAGACATATATCCTGGATCGGAGCCGCTACCGCCTGTGGCTCAGGACGTCTGCCACTACGTCGGCCTTGCCCGGGTGGTAAAGGATCTGACAATTGTAATCCTTAACCAAATCTAACCATCGATGCTACCTCATGTTCAGATTTGGCTGATCCATGAGGTACCTCAAACTCTTGTGGTTCGTGTAGATAGTTCACCGAACCCCGTAAAGGTAAAGTCGCCAAATATTGAGGGCAAACACCACCGCCCCCAGCTCTAAATCATGCGTTAGGTAGTTAGCCTCGTGAGGCTTCAACTGTCTCGAGGCATAAGCTATCACATGCCCCCGCTGCATCAACACTGCTCCCATACATGTGATCGAAGCATCACAGTAGACTATAAAGTCATCTATTTCCTCTGGCAGGGTGAGAATCGTTGCCTCGCACAGTCGCTGCCTGATCATCTCAAAGGTTGTCTGCTACTCAGGACCCCAACGAAACACCACCGACTTCTTGGTCAGTCGGGTCAGTGGAACTGCTATCTTCGAGAAATCTTGGATAAATCTCCTGTAGTACCCTGCCAAACCCAGGAAGCTCTGAATCTCGAATGGAGACCTCGGGACCTCCCACTGCATCAGGGTCTCTATCTTGGCCGGATCGACTAATATACCCTTCCGGTTGACAAGGTGCCCCAGAAACTGCACCTCGCGCAACCAGAAATCGCACTTGGAGAACTTTGTGAAAAGTCTCTCCCTCCTCAAGGTCTCTAGCATCTCCCTCGGGTGATCCTCGGTCTTGGAATAAACCAAGATGTCATTAATTAATACTATTACAGATCGATCCAGCATCGGTCTGCACACGCGATTCATGAGATCCATGAATAAGGATGGAGCATTGGTGAGACCAAACGGCATCACCACAAACTCATAATGACCATAGTCGGTTCTAAGAGCGGTCTTCTGCACATCATCATCTTTGACCCGCATGTAGTGATATCCGGACCGTAAATCAATCTTGGAAAACCAAGATGCTCCTTGAAGTTGGTCGAAAAAATCATCTATCCTCGGGAGTGGGTAATGGTTATTCACCGCTACCTTATTTAGCTCCCAATAATCTATGCACATACGGTGCAACCTGTCCTTTTTATTCACAAACAGGATCGGGGTCCCCATGGCGAATTGCTCTGCCAGATAAAACCCTTGTCTAGCAGCTCCTGCAGCTGCATAGACAACTCCTACATCTCGGGAGGAGCCAACTGATATGGTCCTTTGGCTATCGGAGCCGCACTATGTCACACCCCCAAACCAAGGATGGCGGAAACGTCTGGGGGTGGAGGACTTCATGTAGAGTGTCACAACAATGAGTATAATAGTGCTCAAAGTAAATACAACCAACACAAATATAATTGAAAACGTTACATCAAAGCAC